TGTGTGTGTGTGTGTGTGTGTGTGTGTGTGTGTGTGTGTGTGTGTGTGTACATTATTTATTTACATATGTGAATTTGTGTGTAAGCGAGCGAAACCTTAGACTTGTCAACTAATGTTTCAGGGTAATTCAATTAAATCAAGGCCTCTTCAGATTTTGGCGATTTAAAGCTCTGAGTGGCACTGTAACTGTTATGAAAGGCGTGTCGTTGTTGATATCATAAAAACAAACCTTCAGAGTAACTAGTTTTTGTAGCATCGTAAATGCGACTATAAAGCCAATCACAAAGTTTGAATTTAGATTCCTGATAGGATACCGAATAGATGTTGACTTCCTTATTCATTCTGTTGTAAAGTGGAAGATCAAGACAGGAGAAATTACGGCCCTGCATTCAAGGCGATAATTTTGCAACCAAAGCCCTTTATAACATTTAGAAACTCAACATCTTACCAAACACCAAGTTGTAATACAGAACGAGATAATAGATTGCACTTAATTTGTTTAAATGCCCGCGACTTAAAAAGCATCATGGTGGTATCAGTCAAACCACGATTCGTCTCAATAATAACCATTAAGTTTGTTTGTTTAAAAAGTTTTAAAAATAATTTTTCAACGAAAAGGACAAATTAATTTGTATTTATTCTCTTGACAATTTGGTATTTATTAGCCCCGCCCAATACCGAGTGTAGACTCTTTCTCCTGACAGTCATATCTAGCACCATACTAAGTTTTGTAGCAGTAGAGCTCCTTGTTCGTCTAGCCACTTTAGCAATTTCGGCCACCAAGTAGAAATGTGAGCATTAAAGCGTTCCGGTTTTGAAAAATAAGGGTGCTGGTGAAGCTACAGGCACATGGAAATTGTCATTATGTCTAAGGGTGACGGGCGCAATCGCAATGCCCCTCAGATCGTTGCGTTTTAACACGTTCAGACCGGTATAACTTCACGATGTTGGGATACATTTTATATGACTTTCGGTGGTACACCACCGCCAAATAAACCAAAAGTTTTGTCTCGTTTGTTAGTGTGTTTTTCTATTAAATTTGTAGTGTTTCAAATAAATACTTTTTTAATTTCTTGCACATTTTCAAATCCATGATACTTTGAACACTGAACTGTTGCACAGAGTGGGAACTTTAGCATTTTCTCTTAAGGCGTATTTCTTTAGAAATCAAAGTCAAGTGTCGCGTGACCACCGGTGGTACACCCCGCTTGATGGGTGAGTTGTCCGTGCTCCACCGATGGTGCACCTCGAGATAAAGCTCAGAGTGGTACGCAACTGTAATGGAGAGGCGTGTTGCTTACAACCAGATGCACAATTTGTTTGTCCCGTTATTTAATACCAAAAAAATTCAAGGAACATAATTTAGGTCTTGCGGTTTATAATCTTCTTTAAAAAAGAAGACAAGTACGACAATTAGTCGAAAATGTTCGCTTTTAAAAACTGAAGAACATAAATCCTAGAAACGACGAAACGTTAGATAAGTCGGCAATATATATAGTTTTCGCATCCTATCCAGCAGAGCAGATAGACCTTTCGAATCTATGAAATTAACATGTAAACGTATTACAGGGCACGGGTGGCACGTGGCTGAGGAAGACCACGGCGCACTATGGGAACCCTCTTAAGAGAGCCATCTCATAAATGCTTTTT